CGGCCCCGGGACCCTCCCAGCTCAGGGAAGCCTGAATACACTTGCGTTTCCCTCCTTCAGTAGAACATAGAGTGGAATTTTCCAGAAATGACCCTGCTTAATACTATCTCTGTTCTAAAGCAGGGGTCTGCAAGCTATAGTCTAGGGGCCAAATCTGAATTTAGTGCAGCACAGCCAGGCTCCTTTCTCATGGATCATCCGTGGCTACTCTCCTGCCTCGATGGCGGGGTTGGGTACCACCGGCAAAGCCATAAATACTCACCGTCGGGCCCTGACAGGAAGGTTTGCGACTTCTGCAGGGTCTGCTTTCCTGCTGCCCCTCGAAATGGGGCGTGAGCTTCACGGGCGACCTTCCCTTTTCCGGTGGCAGCATTCAAAAGAGTAAAAAAGAAACAGGTGATAGGCATTTCCATGGTATGTGTCGTTTAACCCATGATATCAAAATACTGTCACTGCCACATAGAATCCGTATAAACGATTATTACAGAGGTAGTTTTCTATACGTGTTCGAAGTCCGGTGTGTATTTTACACTTGCAGCTCGAGGTCCAGTGTGCATTTTATACTTGCAGCTCGAGGTCCAGGGTGCATTTTATACTTGCAGCTCGAGGTCCAGTGTGCATTTTATACTTGCAGCTCAAGGTCCAATGTGCATTTTATACTTGCAGCTCGAGGTCCAGTGTGCATTTTATACTTGCAGCTCGAGGTCCAGGGTGCATTTTATACTTGCAGCTCGAGGTCCAGTGTGCATTTTATACTTGCAGCTCGAGGTCCAGGGTGCATTTTATACTTGCAGCTCGAGGTCCAGGGTGCATTTTATACTTGCAGCTCGAGGTCCAGTGTGCATTTTATACTTGCAGCTCGAGGTCCAGTGTGCATTTTATACTTGCAGCTCGAGGTCCAGTGTGCATTTTATACTTGCAGCTCGAGGTCCAGTGTGCATTTTATACTTGCAGCTCGAGGTCCAGTGTGCATTTTATACTTGCAGCTCGAGGTCCAGTGTGCATTTTATACTTGCAGCTCGAGGTCCAGTGTGCATTTTATACTTGCAGCTCGAGGTCCAGTGTGCATTTTATACTTGCAGCTCGAGGTCCAGTGTGCATTTTATACTTGCAGCTCGAGGTCCAGTGTGCATTTTATACTTGCAGCTCGAGGTCCAGTGTGCATTTTATACTTGCAGCTCGAGGTCCAGTGTGCATTTTATACTTGCAGCTCGAGGTCCAGTGTGCATTTTATACTTGCAGCTCGAGGTCCAGTGTGCATTTTATACTTGCAGCTCGAGGTCCAGTGTGCATTTTATACTTGCAGCTCGAGGTCCAGTGTGCATTTTACACTTGCAGCTCGAGGTCCAGTGTGCATTTTACACTTGCAGCTCGAGGTCCAGTGTGCATTTTACACTTGCAGCTCATCTGGATTTGGACAGCCCTCATTCCAGGTGTGAATGGCCACATGCATAGCCATCTACCTCAGGATAGGGCCGAGTTACCCACTTCCTCCAGGTCCTCCGACCCTCAGTGTGTTTTGAAACCGTGTATCAGGATTCCGGTGAAGTTCAGCTTTGCCCATCGGGGCTCCTCTGTCCAGTTTAACAAGCTCAACACTTTCTCAAGGAAGGTGCTCTCCTGGCACCGGTCCCGTGGCGAGGAGCCAGGGGGAGAGCAGCGGAGCGCGCAGCCTGGTGGTGTGGATGATGCCATGTGACCCCGTGGCCTGGGACCACAGCACCAGGTTCCCAGGGACACGAGGGCACTTGAACGTTGGGAGTTAAAAACAGGCCCAGGATCGAGTCAGTGGTCGCCTGCCTGGGCTGTGTGGGCAGGGGGAGCAGGGGGGAGGTGAATTCTGACCGGGGACATTAACGGAGGGTTTATAGAGAGACATTCGCTGCGTTGAGCTCCAGTTAGTAGACTGGTAACAACAGCCAGCGCTTACCTTGACCTGAGCTCGTCCTGGTTCCACCAGGGAGCAGCCTTGTGACCTCGGATTTAACCTCTCCAAGTCTTAGTGTGAACCAAAGGGGCCGGAATACATTTGTGCTTTTAAATGTGTGGTTGTGACTCATTTGTGGACGGCCAGCTCATCTTAGCGGGCTGTGACCAGCATTCAGAGAATGACATAGCCTCGCCTAGGTCCTGTTGGAGTGCGTGGCACCGAGTGAGGTGAAGTATTATATTGTTCTGTGAAACTTGATTTAGATACAGCTTTACTATCTTCTTTCTTACTCTGGGGGCTCTCTTTCCACTCTGGACAGTATAAGGCCGGCCGTTCCTCCTTCCATTCCAAAGGCAGGCGTTTTCCGTGGGCCCTGCAAGGACTTCAGAGGCCTTCTCAACACAACCCCCTGGGGAAGTCACTGCTCGTCAGTCAAAAGCGGAACATCCGACTCACCCGGTTTCTGTCCCATCGCAAAGCCCTTCGTTCTCTTGGTTAGAGCCGATGAGTCTTCCCTTGATGGTGTTGGGACCGAGACTGTGAAACGAAGGGAGGAAAGAGAAAGCGGGGGGAAGAGAGCATTGTCCTTGGGCTGGTAAATATAGGGTGCCCCCCAAAAGTATATACGCACACTTTGCATAATTATAAAGGCAGCGTGTATTAAAATACATTTCATTTTCGAAGTTGAGCTATCCGCTGTTAAAGTGTGTATACATTTTTGGGGGGACACCCTGTATATTTCTTAGCTGCTGTTTTAGGGCGCCCTGTGGCTTTCTGGTGCTGTGATTATCTTAATAGATGCACTTTCCCCCCATTAGGCAGATGTGTCATCCTACTGGCCCGTTGTTTAGGCAAACCAAGGGCTCCTTAACCGCAGGTGGAACGATGCGTTTGGCATGACACGGGGATCTTGAAGACATCAGCAGAGCTACCGTTATTGTCATCATGAAAGGAAGAGCATTAGAGCCAGCCTGGGGATGGAGGTCCCTGGAAATAGGAGCCCGTCTCGCGTTCAGGAAGCCTCTGGGACACCCGAGGGACTTGGTTTGTTGAGTGGGATCCGTGGGCCCCGTGTATCCCACTTCGTGGGGATCGTGTGGAGTTGTTGCTCCTTCCCCTCCCCCCTCTCTCCGCCTCACCCCGGGCAGGCGCCAGCCTTCTGGGAGGCCTGTCCCTCAGTTGCCAGATTAAGTGCCCGAGATCTATTCGCTCCAGAGGGTGGTGCCACTTCGGGAACAAAGAGAAGGCACTGTTCTCTCCCTTGATTTTCGACTTATTTGATAGGNTGCTCCAGAGGGTGGTGCCACTTCGGGAACAGACAAAGAGAAGGCACTGTTCTCTCCCTTGATTTTCGACTTATTTGATAGGATTTGAAATGAACCACTTAAGTGTGATGAATGGGGAAGAGAGAAACCTTCCCTCCAGGGCCAACCCCTCCACCGTGCGTGGGCTCCCGGGTGGCAGCTTGAGTCATAGAGGGCCGCTGCCCAGCTCTTTGATTTAAGATAATGGGGACAGGGGTGAGGGAGCGATACCAGCGCGGGGTGGAGCTGTCACTCGGACACACGCAGTAAGTGAGGCATTTGAAAGCCAAGGCAGAGGATAGGAGCAAGGCTGGGGACAGCTGAGACCCCAGGAATGCCTCCAGAAAGTGGAGGTCACCATGGGGAAGCTATTCAAAGCCAGACGTGAGGTGGCCACAAAACAGTAGCCACGAAACAGTAGCCACGTACGTCATGATGTCCTTAAATAGGGCACTTCTACGTTCCCCACAAGGTCAGGGGCCAGCCCTGGGCCCACCCAGAGTGAAGTCAGGCCCCACCTGGCTCTCTGGACCACCTTATGCCAGATGGAAGGATTTGATGATTGAGTCACACTCATTCATTCATCGTACATTTTGACCAAGCCCTATAGGGATTCTCAGGTGAGCAAATGACCTGCTTTCTAGGAGTTTACAACTGAGAAGAAAAGCTTGCTAAGTCAGGAGACTAAAACAGGACCGTGTGCTGAGCTGGATAAAGAGGGCCATGGGGGTCTACCAGGGAAGCATCAGTAAGATTTAGAGTCGGGGTCCCAACGTGGCATAGTCTGAGCCCTAAGTGTTAGTGAAACTCTCCTCTCTTCTCCAGGACATGTCTTGAGGCTCCTTTGCTCATTGGATGGGCTAATTCTTGGGCCCTCTCCTCCCCTCTGTCCATCCCAGAGACAGAATGGTGCTGTGCAGACTCCCAACCAAGTTGTCAACAGCTGGAACGAGTTGTGCTCTGTAGTGGTGGTGTTGGGCTCTCCAGCACAGCCCAGAACACTCACCCGTTTGTTCATTCATTCTGCAAACTGGTTTCTTGTTGCTTTGATGTGCAGGGTCCGTGTGAGAGGCCT